TACAACAATTGCTTTTCATTGTTTATGGATTAACTTTTATCGTATTTTTTCAAGGAATCAAACAGGTTTGACTTTTTCTTTTTTACAACGCCAAGTGATTGTTGATAAAAAAGATGCGTAATACAACAAAGAATGTTCTACAACAATTGCTTTTCATTGTTTATGGATTAACTTTTATCGTATTTTTTCAAGGAATCAAACAGGTTTGACTTTTTTTTTTTACAACGCCAAGTGATTGTTGATAAGAATGTTCTACAACAATTACCTTTTATTGTTCATATCAAACAGGTTTGACTCTATTTTTACAACGCCAAATGATTGTTGATGGAAAAGATTATCTTTTATTGTTCATAGATTAACTCTTTACAGTATTTTTTCAATGAATCAATAAACAGGGTTGACTTTTATAATCTTGCCAACATTAAGTGATTGTTGATAGAGAAGATGCGTAATACAACAAAGAATATTCTACAATCATTGTTTGGACTAACTTTTTACCGTATGTTTAAACTAGTTGGATATTATTTGGTCTATTGATAGATAGTATAATTATAATGTCAAAGTTTCTTTATCTTTCTGTGTGATGCCTTGTGGCAAATGCTAATTTGGGAGAGGAATTTCTACAGTTATATAAAGCACATCATTTGCAGCCTTTCAAGAATTACGTTTCTATCAAAAAGCCACAGACATAACAATCATTGACTTACAAAAAACTCAGAGCTTTTTATCCTACCTAAAAGTTATAAAATTTAATATTATAATCATTTTTTAAAAAAAAAACTCCAACAAAAGCGTGGCAATCAATATTGTCACAATTAATTTTTTAAAACAAAAGCGATGCCGTTTTTCAACGCAAAAATAGAAAAAGCCCTGCCCCACAGACTTTGGGTTTTGCCGGGTCTGTCAACAATTACGCCTGGGCAGAACATGGTTTTGCAAATATGGACTTGTTTGTCTCTGAGGTAAGCACTTTCTGGTATTAGTGACTTTTATAAGAGGATGTGTTGAAGCAAATGAGCAAATTGCTTCTTCTTTTTCTAGACATTTTTATAACTTGTAAGAAAATAATTATAATTTTAAGAAAAAAATATTGTTCTACGTCGAAAAAGTGTGCTTGATATTGACAAAGTATCTCTCTCTCTTTTTTTAAAAAAACTGCATTTTGACTTTCAGTCAGTCGAACTTTACACTAGTTGATGAGAAGATTGATAGCGTCGAAGAAAGGCTGGGGTCGACAAAAAATTTGAGCTTTTATATGGAAACGAAAACATGAAGTACGGAAGTAGAAGATTCGAGCTTTTATACGGAAATAAAAACATGAAGTACAGGAGTAGAAGATTTATTTGCCACTTGGAGATTACATCAACAAAATCCGTAATACCTACACCCTCCGATGAGACGTGTAACGGAGGGAGGTCTCATGGTGCATTTGGCGTACTATAAAATTTATATAAAAATTTCGAGATAAACTTTCTACTGTTGCACTCAAACGGTTTCAAAATTTTGATGAAACCGTTTGTTTATTGTAAAATTTTGAGATAAAATTTCTACTGTTGTACTCAAACGGTTTCAAAATTTTGATGAAACCGTTTGTTTATTGTAAAATTTCGAGATAAACTTTTTACTGTTGTACTAAAACGGTTTCAAAATTTTGATGAAACCGTTTGTTTATTGTAATTTTAGTTTTATTTTTTTTGTTTTCCCTGCAAATTTTGTGGAGTAATATTTTCGAAAATGGCGGTTTTCCGAAATACCAGTTTTGAGAGATTATTGATGGACAATTACATATAGTAAATTAAGAAACTGTGAATATAATAATAATATCGGTTTATCGAGCTTAAATTCTTATAAGAACGTGACAAAATAATATCGGTTATCGGAATTGCGTGGATGTTATATGAAAATATCGGTTTTACGAGCGAATTTTGTTCTACGTGTTTTGGGGAATTAGAAAAATTATCAGTTTTGGCATTTATCGGTTTTCCGAGCTTTGACTGTATCGCTCGCAAGAATGTTTATATAAAATGCCTGTTGAGTTCAAGTCTTTGAAGTAAAGCATGCCTTCTCTCAATTATGGTCACAATAAACAAAAACTTGTAGAATCCAACCTTACGACTTTTATACTTAAAAACCAGTATATTAACATTAATACTATTAGCCCACCTCTACTTTTACAAGAAACTTTCGTCCGTCTCTGAAATTATAATTTTAACAACGCATCCGTCCCCCAAAAGACAAACGAACCAATAGAAAATAACAAATGGACTACGTTGTTCTATACTTCTGCTGGTATTACGGTCTTGATTGAGAAACTCGGAGTTGAAAGAAATTCTTTGTTGAATAATCATACGTGGCACAGCGCACATGGGGATTGGATTGGGACGCGTAGGGAAAGGTCATACACCGACAGTAAGATAAGGGTAATGTAATGTGAATACAAATAACGACAGTTAAATCAGAAATAAACCGTCAACATATTCGCTCAGAAAAAAAGCACATCAATTTTCCACTTCAAAATGGTTTGTCTCTTTCAGTATGGATCAATGTATACCTATCTACGTATTTATCACGTTAATGTATTCACTCATCCTCCGCGTAAAATCGGAAACCTCTATTCGAATGTTGCGTTATGTAATATTTACTTTTCTTATCAGGCTTCGTTTTACGATTAGAGATATAGTAAAGCCGTCCCCCGAGGCCTTGTTCAGTTATGAGAAAATAACAATCGTAAACATTACACCGCCCTTTGCCTCTATAATATATGGTAAAACGGACAGAATTTTACATCTATTGTTAAAACTATTTACTGTTGTAAACTTTCTCGATCCGCTCACTTTTCGAACATGGACAAGAGTGCTGTCCAACGATATACATGATATTAATATTGATGATTCAAGCGAACTGCTGTTCATATTATTGTTGTTTTATACAAATTGAAGAGATATCATTTCTTAGGGTAATCTCTGAAAAGTTATAATAATAATTGTTTAAAAATAAAATAATTAAATTCCTATGTGTCTACCACAATAGGAAGCCGCCCGCGCTCCCGAATGAGCGATTTTATACTTGACGCTCCCCAAGTATGGCTTTAAGGATGGTGCCTTTATAATTTTGCTAACCATCCAGCTCAATATTGACGCGTTTAGGCAATTTAATGCTTCAACGCTGGCACAAGCATATGCCCATTAAACCCAGCCCTCTTTGACAGCCGCCGCCCTCGGCCCGCTGGGCTTGGTGCTGTTCCAGACGAAAATGGGAAAGTCGTGTGGATGTTCGGGGCGTGTAATGTTGGTGGTGAGAGTTAGAACAAACTCTATCACTTTTTCAACCACCTGGCCGTATCAAAAGCCACCAGAAGCGAGGAGGAAGTCACAGGCCGGATTTCGACGTGTTCTGTATGGCATGGTTGATGTCTGCTACAATATTAGGTATAAGAGGAAAGAGGGAGGGGTTAGTTCAATGGTTTTAACCTCAAGTTGAATTAGACCAGTAGTTTACGATAGTTTGCTGAAAGAAAAACAAGCTCGGATAGGGTGTTGTTGATATTGAGTGAAAATAAATACCGTGTCGTGTAGTTTATACTTACCAAGTCTTTATTTTTTATAGACAGGCGCCACGAACCATACCATTCCGGCACGCCGAACCGTCTGGGTTAGTTGTGAACCCTCTTAACGCAATGTGTCATGGGAGTGGGCATTGAAATAAACCTTTGGAAGTTTTGGGGAAAAAAAAAAAAGGAGTAACTGGTTGATCGGCAACTGCGGACAAATGCTATTGGAATAAATTGGTCATGGGAACTTCTGCATGCATGATTTAGTCGTACTGATTTAACCTTGGGGGGAAGATGGATAGATAATCATTCGAAATAACATTAGGAAACACTTAAAAAATAAAGCTAGTCCAAAAACGATAACGTGTAACAACCAATATGTCAGAGTAACTGATGCTGATAACTTTAGGAGAACTTATATAAAAGGGGTATGAGTGGAGTTGAGTGCATTTTGTGCATTCTTCATCTTATTGCGCATTCTATATCGTATCTCGTTTTTCCCGCCGTACCTTGCTTCTCTTAAGATTATAAACTACAACCAAACAATGGACGCTCAAGGAGGCACGCATGAGACTTTATTATAATTGACAATTCAGTGCTAATGATTCGATTAACATTACTAAAGATTCGTTTGAACACATCAATCGAACAGACTCTCACGTTCGTATCGTAAGCTCCGTATGGGGCTGGACTGATGAGGCACTCAGAAGACTCTTCCAGTCTTTTAGGTAAGGCATTTGATAGAAGCGAGAAGGATTTGCGCTAGTATCTGTGACTTGTTGCTTAGTACTATTCGCGTTAACAGGGCAATTGAACAAACATATGACGTCACGATTTATTTTATAAGTCAAAATCAGGTCGGTTTGAAATTCGACTTGTGTCAATAATAATGGACCTTATCTAAATAATGTTTCTTTTTTATTCCCAGGATTTTGTAGTGCACGGACAGGATCTAGAAAAAACAAACGCCGCGTATGTCTAATTATGCTTACTCAGTGTGCGATTTCATAATATGCCAATTTCACTAACACTTTACTTGTCGCATGCAATTTAGACGCGAGGAACTGCAAACATTAGTCATCGCTAGGGTAATTAGAGCGACTGTGATATGCAGAAGTTTTTTTCTCCGTTATTTATATTGTCTGTTAATTTACTCTTTCAAAAAAACCTCCGATAGGCGCCCAGAGAGGCCACCGTTGTATATATTTCACCAAGAAGACCCAACACGCCAGCCAATACAACTACAGAACCCATTGATGAACAAGTCCCAGTCTTTGTCGGCGCTAGCACTGTCGAAGAAGATCTAAACCGCGAGGAGGAGACCGAGCAGGAGACTGAGAAGGAAACCGAGAAGGAGGAAACCGAGGAGACTGAGAAGGAAACCGAGAAGGAGGAACCTGTGAAGGAATCTGAGACGGAAACGGACGAATTCATATTCGTTGATAATGCGGACGTTAGAACTGCGCTGGGGATGCGCAATAGAGGGTTTACTATGTCCACCGTCAATCTTTGGGATGAACTTTGTAACGAGATACCGGTGGAGGGAGACGTGATTTATGATGAGCATGTAAGGATGATATCATTGGTGTTGTAGATACTGTAGTTGACATATGTGGACAACAATAGTTTGGCTAACATCCGGCTTTACACGTATAATACTCTGTCCATATTTGCTCAACGATTAGATTAAGTCAAGTCATTTAATGTTGATTTTTTATCGTTTTTCAGAAAATTCAAATAACTGGCAGGAAAACTCATATCGAAGACGCTAAGAAAAGGCTTCGAGTGCTGGAAACGATTTCGGTAATATTAGATTTGCTGTTATCGTATATAATAATACATAACTATAACATAGTATGCCCTTTTCAAAACATCTAGCTTCGCCGTCATAGACATCTTGGGATGTCGCTCTTACATTATCCTGACAAGACGGTCTGGTTTAAGGCTAGTTTCCTTCACCTTAATAAGCACGACTATTTCAAACGCGTGGTCAGGAATGTAGGGAAAAAAGCTTTTGTCTTGGTAGCAGCCGTCCAAAATCCGGCCAATGAAAAGCAATTTTTAACAAACAAGTCGGCAACCTCGTCAACACAGCAGAGAAACTCGTCAGGCTATCCTTTTCCGTCTCGTCAACAATCGGCATCTCGTCAGTCGTCGACATCTACTCAATCATCGGCATTTCTCAAGTCACCAGCGTCGCCGACATCTCAATCGTCTCCTCAGTCGTATGGATATCCTCAGTCATCGCTATATTCTCAGTCGTCAGCATTCCGCCAACCACCGGCATATCAATCGTCGTCATCTTCTCAGCCGCATGTATATCCTCAGTCATCAGTATATTCTCAATCAGCAGCGTCTCGCCAATCATCGGCGTTCCTTAAGTCTCCAGCATCTCCGGCGTCCCAATCATCATCGTCTCCGTCGTATGTATATCCTCAGTCATCGGTATATTCTCAGTCTTCATCATCACGTCAATTATCGGCGTCTCGGCCATCTTCATCAGTATATCCTCAGCCATCTTCATCAGTATATCCTCAGCCATCTTCATCAGTATATCCTCAGCCATCTTCATCAGTATATCCTCAGTCATCTTCATCTGTATATCCTCAGTCATCTTCATCTGTATATCCTCAGTCATCTTCATCACAATTATCGGCATATTCACCATCTTTCCATCCACGTATTGAAGCCGGGATTCGTCTAACAGAGGAGGAAAAGTTGGCTCGGAAACAGGCCAAGAAACAACAGCTAGCTGAAATGAGAAAAATGAGGGCTCTTGGTATCACTAAGGATGAAAATGGTGCTGTATCCGGTAGTTCCAGGCTACTGCCTGGCGACAATCATTTCGAAGGCTTCAATACTTACGAGACCAAGACTACAGCTGATACGCTCGACGAGAGGTCGACTGATTCTTCCAGCTCAATAATCCCAAACATAACAACCGAGAATGACGAGAAACCCCTCCCAGGTCAACTGTACGTTGATATTCGATTTAAGTTGTACGGTTTTTCGTGTAATGAAAATCAATTAACCTAATTACTTTCTTATTCTTTTTGTTTGATATGATTAGACTTCGTGAATTCAATTTTGATCAAATGAAAAATATATTTAGCGAAGCGTAAGTATTATTTGATGGCAATATTGTGACTATAAACGGGATTATAATTAAATTTGCGTTATTACTTGCAGACTGGACTATGTCCACCCCTTGAAAGGGGAAATTAGATTTTTTGGCAGGTAACTATATGTCCGTACATGTCAACGGGATTTTACGTTTGCGAATAACCAATAATTACTAAAACTCTTCGATTACGCAATTTTAGTTTGGGCAAATCTGTCTTCCAAGACGTCCCCTCGGACGTTGGAAGACAGTTGTGGGAGTACTTTGAAGTCGACGGCTTGAAGAGTCGATACAAAATGAAACATACGTTCCATAACGCGTAAGTGAGCGAAAAGAATTTTTATTGATAATTACTTGCGTGTTTTACCATCTGCTTAAACCAAAGTAATGTCGCAAAGCCTAACCCATATATTCTAATAGCGCTGCCTATGATGACGATCATAAATTAATCGACTATCTTGCCGAAGTGTGCGGCGAGTTTCACAGCCGCAGCGAGCATTTCGAGATCAACGCCAAGGCGCGTAATGCGCAACATGACGATTTCGAAGACATTGTGATGTCTATTGACATCAACAATGTGCTCCTAAAGTGGGTCGCCTACCCGTGGGCCCGTGTGGCGGACGTGGATTGGAGCATTCTGGAGCGGTAATATAAGAAATCTAAAACTTGTGAGTTTTCCCACTTCAGCACACCTTTATAACAACTAATATCTCTCACACATTATCCACAGGAAATTCGATGTTCAGTTTACGATGGCCAAGCGTCGGTCGATTCGAAGCGATATCAAGCCATTTAATATGTTCATAAAAAAAGTCTCGATCACCCCCAGTACAAATCGCATCTCCTTTGAAGACATTCCTGAGCTACTTAAAGTAAAGTCGATCTATAGGAAGACGACCCGTAAATTTAAGCTGCATAAACCCTTCATGGCGGAATTTTCTCGGATCGAAAAGGTTCCTATACAGAACCAGCAGTTTCAGAAAAGGTTAGGTAAAACCGGCGAAGGGAAAATCCACTATACCATCGAGGTTAGTCACATCAGTCGAAATACGTTTGTTTCGTCTAGCGTTTTCAATGTGAATATATATATTCATCGGACGTGTCTTTTTCATTTATTTTGCAGATAATTAATCGCGAAAATAAGAGCAGATTTAAAGAAAATATTCATTTGGGCGTCGGTGAGCTTCCCACGTGGACTAAAAAAGATATATTAGGAGAAGAACCCGGGCTAGATAAGCTTGTTGAGTTAATCAAGACTATGTTGTTGCTGGTTGAAAAAACCGATAAAGCAGCTGAGAAATGGTTTGCAGAGCTAGATGTTCAGAATAACAGCAAGTAGCTAATAATAATGTTTGTATTATAATAACACTATTTTAAATTAAATATTTGTCAATTAAACTGGTAGAAAACGGTTGACATTACAAAGTATAAAGATTACATGAGTATTGTCCTATCAGACATTAATGTTTACATCGTAATGTTTGTGTACTGTAGTAATGTGAACTTGCTGATTAGAGCCGAGATCAATGGCGTCGGGCCTGTCTGTGTGGTGCGAGTATTTGTTTTCGAATCGACAGCAGGCTGGTTCGGAGTGTTGAACAGCTGATTGTACTTCGGGAGCATTTTTGCTGAGCTTAAACCCAGTCTCTGTCAATGGATCAAATACTCTCTATTGACCAACGTAATTTCATTAATGTGCTGGTTAGGCGTCAAATAATATTTCGAGCAAAAAAGACAGGTTAAGAGAATATATTGAAATGAAAACAAAGAGGACATTTTTGCGGAAAAAAAGTAAGGAATTTAAGCAAACTGGAAATTACGTCGAGTGCGAATGAACCAAAAAATTTAAACCCTTAAAAAAAAGGGTTAGACATATAAAAAATTTGTATTTTAGATGAAATGCCGATGATTGACGAGATGCTGTTGACTGAGGAGATGATGATGATTGAGAAATGCAGGCCATTTCATCAAGTTTATTTCTGACTCATCAAAGAATGTCCTTGTCAGTTTGCTTGTATGAACAGTATTTTCAGGTAGTTCGAGATTAACTTCATCGTTTTCGAGAAACGCACTGACATGTGTCAGATGAAAATTAACAATAATAATAAATATTGTCATGTTTATTATTCTCATCTGACACATGTCAGTTTCGAAGCGACATAAATTCTGAACTGACAGCTCATATTTCTCTGCTTCTTCAAATACATCTTCTTAATGGTATTATTCAGTAACGACAACTTTAATGGAAAAATGGATCAAGAAAGTACATGACGCGTATCTAAGGGCAGACATGCTTGTTCTTTCCGAGAGACTTCCATGAAGTATTATAGACTTGATCCAAACCCTTAGTAGAAATCAAAATGAGGGAATTTTTTGCGTCAATTACAATGTTGAAAAAAGTATCTGACTACGACTCAAAACAAATCACGGGGATGCTTCTTAACATCAAGAAGATGTATTTGAAGAAGCAGAGAAATATGAGCTGTCAGTTCAGAATTTATGTCGCTTCGAAACTGACATGTGTCAGATGAGAATAATAAACATGACAATATTTATTATTATTGTTAATTTTCATCTGACACATGTCAGTGCGTTTCTCGAAAACGATGAAGTTAATCTCGAACTACCTGAAAATACTGTTCATACAAGCAAACTGACAAGGACATTCTTTGATGAGTCAGAAATAAACTTGATGAAATGGCCTGCATTTCTCAATCATCATCATCTCCTCAGTCAACAGCATCTCGTCAATCATCGGCATTTCATCTAAAATACAAATTTTTTATATGTCTAACCCTTTTTTTTAAGGGTTTAAATTTTTTGGTTCATTCGCACTCGACGTAATTTCCAGTTTGCTTAAATTCCTTACTTTTTTTCCGCAAAAATGTCCTCTTTGTTTTCATTTCAATATATTCTCTTAACCTGTCTTTTTTGCTCGAAATATTATTTGACGCCTAACCAGCACATTAATGAAATTACGTTGGTCAATAGAGAGTATTTGATCCATTGACAGAGACTGGGTTTAAGCTCAGCAAAAATGCTCCCGAAGTACAATCAGCTGTTCAACACTCCGAACCAGCCTGCTGTCGATTCGAAAACAAATACTCGCACCACACAGACAGGCCCGACGCCATTGATCTCGGCTCTAATCAGCAAGTTCACATTACTACAGTACACAAACATTACGATGTAAACATTAATGTCTGATAGGACAATACTCATGTAATCTTTATACTTTGTAATGTCAACCGTTTTCTACCAGTTTAATTGACAAATATTTAATTTAAAATAGTGTTATTATAATACAAACATTATTATTAGCTACTTGCTGTTATTCTGAACATCTAGCTCTGCAAACCATTTCTCAGCTGCTTTATCGGTTTTTTCAACCAGCAACAACATAGTCTTGATTAACTCAACAAGCTTATCTAGCCCGGGTTCTTCTCCTAATATATCTTTTTTAGTCCACGTGGGAAGCTCACCGACGCCCAAATGAATATTTTCTTTAAATCTGCTCTTATTTTCGCGATTAATTATCTGCAAAATAAATGAAAAAGACACGTCCGATGAATATATATATTCACATTGAAAACGCTAGACGAAACAAACGTATTTCGACTGATGTGACTAACCTCGATGGTATAGTGGATTTTCCCTTCGCCGGTTTTACCTAACCTTTTCTGAAACTGCTGGTTCTGTATAGGAACCTTTTCGATCCGAGAAAATTCCGCCATGAAGGGTTTATGCAGCTTAAATTTACGGGTCGTCTTCCTATAGATCGACTTTACTTTAAGTAGCTCAGGAATGTCTTCAAAGGAGATGCGATTTGTACTGGGGGTGATCGAGACTTTTTTTATGAACATATTAAATGGCTTGATATCGCTTCGAATCGACCGACGCTTGGCCATCGTAAACTGAACATCGAATTTCCTGTGGATAATGTGTGAGAGATATTAGTTGTTATAAAGGTGTGCTGAAGTGGGAAAACTCACAAGTTTTAGATTTCTTATATTACCGCTCCAGAATGCTCCAATCCACGTCCGCCACACGGGCCCACGGGTAGGCGACCCACTTTAGGAGCACATTGTTGATGTCAATAGACATCACAATGTCTTCGAAATCGTCATGTTGCGCATTACGCGCCTTGGCGTTGATCTCGAAATGCTCGCTGCGGCTGTGAAACTCGCCGCACACTTCGGCAAGATAGTCGATTAATTTATGATCGTCATCATAGGCAGCGCTATTAGAATATATGGGTTAGGCTTTGCGACATTACTTTGGTTTAAGCAGATGGTAAAACACGCAAGTAATTATCAATAAAAATTCTTTTCGCTCACTTACGCGTTATGGAACGTATGTTTCATTTTGTATCGACTCTTCAAGCCGTCGACTTCAAAGTACTCCCACAACTGTCTTCCAACGTCCGAGGGGACGTCTTGGAAGACAGATTTGCCCAAACTAAAATTGCGTAATCGAAGAGTTTTAGTAATTATTGGTTATTCGCAAACGTAAAATCCCGTTGACATGTACGGACATATAGTTACCTGCCAAAAAATCTAATTTCCCCTTTCAAGGGGTGGACATAGTCCAGTCTGCAAGTAATAACGCAAATTTAATTATAATCCCGTTTATAGTCACAATATTGCCATCAAATAATACTTACGCTTCGCTAAATATATTTTTCATTTGATCAAAATTGAATTCACGAAGTCTAATCATATCAAACAAAAAGAATAAGAAAGTAATTAGGTTAATTGATTTTCATTACACGAAAAACCGTACAACTTAAATCGAATATCAACGTACAGTTGACCTGGGAGGGGTTTCTCGTCATTCTCGGTTGTTATGTTTGGGATTATTGAGCTGGAAGAATCAGTCGACCTCTCGTCGAGCGTATCAGCTGTAGTCTTGGTCTCGTAAGTATTGAAGCCTTCGAAATGATTGTCGCCAGGCAGTAGCCTGGAACTACCGGATACAGCACCATTTTCATCCTTAGTGATACCAAGAGCCCTCATTTTTCTCATTTCAGCTAGCTGTTGTTTCTTGGCCTGTTTCCGAGCCAACTTTTCCTCCTCTGTTAGACGAATCCCGGCTTCAATACGTGGATGGAAAGATGGTGAATATGCCGATAATTGTGATGAAGATGACTGAGGATATACAGATGAAGATGACTGAGGATATACAGATGAAGATGACTGAGGATATACTGATGAAGATGGCTGAGGATATACTGATGAAGATGGCTGAGGATATACTGATGAAGATGGCTGAGGATATACTGATGAAGATGGCCGAGACGCCGATAATTGACGTGATGATGAAGACTGAGAATATACCGATGACTGAGGATATACATACGACGGAGACGATGATGATTGGGACGCCGGAGATGCTGGAGACTTAAGGAACGCCGATGATTGGCGAGACGCTGCTGATTGAGAATATACTGATGACTGAGGATATACATGCGGCTGAGAAGATGACGACGATTGATATGCCGGTGGTTGGCGGAATGCTGACGACTGAGAATATAGCGATGACTGAGGATATCCATACGACTGAGGAGACGATTGAGATGTCGGCGACGCTGGTGACTTGAGAAATGCCGATGATTGAGTAGATGTCGACGACTGACGAGATGCCGATTGTTGACGAGACGGAAAAGGATAGCCTGACGAGTTTCTCTGCTGTGTTGACGAGGTTGCCGACTTGTTTGTTAAAAATTGCTTTTCATTGGCCGGATTTTGGACGGCTGCTACCAAGACAAAAGCTTTTTTCCCTACATTCCTGACCACGCGTTTGAAATAGTCGTGCTTATTAAGGTGAAGGAAACTAGCCTTAAACCAGACCGTCTTGTCAGGATAATGTAAGAGCGACATCCCAAGATGTCTATGACGGCGAAGCTAGATGTTTTGAAAAGGGCATACTATGTTATAGTTATGTATTATTATATACGATAACAGCAAATCTAATATTACCGAAATCGTTTCCAGCACTCGAAGCCTTTTCTTAGCGTCTTCGATATGAGTTTTCCTGCCAGTTATTTGAATTTTCTGAAAAACGATAAAAAATCAACATTAAATGACTTGACTTAATCTAATCGTTGAGCAAATATGGACAGAGTATTATACGTGTAAAGCCGGATGTTAGCCAAACTATTGTTGTCCACATATGTCAACTACAGTATCTACAACACCAATGATATCATCCTTACATGCTCATCATAAATCACGTCTCCCTCCACCGGTATCTCGTTACAAAGTTCATCCCAAAGATTGACGGTGGACATAGTAAACCCTCTATTGCGCATCCCCAGCGCAGTTCTAACGTCCGCATTATCAACGAATATGAATTCGTCCGTTTCCGTCTCAGATTCCTTCACAGGTTCCTCCTTCTCGGTTTCCTTCTCAGTCTCCTCGGTTTCCTCCTTCTCGGTTTCCTTCTCAGTCTCCTGCTCGGTCTCCTCCTCGCGGTTTAGATCTTCTTCGACAGTGCTAGCGCCGACAAAGACTGGGACTTGTTCATCAATGGGTTCTGTAGTTGTATTGGCTGGCGTGTTGGGTCTTCTTGGTGAAATATATACAACGGTGGCCTCTCTGGGCGCCTATCGGAGGTTTTTTTGAAAGAGTAAATTAACAGACAATATAAATAACGGAGAAAAAAACTTCTGCATATCACAGTCGCTCTAATTACCCTAGCGATGACTAATGTTTGCAGTTCCTCGCGTCTAAATTGCATGCGACAAGTAAAGTGTTAGTGAAATTGGCATATTATGAAATCGCACACTGAGTAAGCATAATTAGACATACGCGGCGTTTGTTTTTTCTAGATCCTGTCCGTGCACTACAAAATCCTGGGAATAAAAAAGAAACATTATTTAGATAAGGTCCATTATTATTGACACAAGTCGAATTTCAAACCGACCTGATTTTGACTTATAAAATAAATCGTGACGTCATATGTTTGTTCAATTGCCCTGTTAACGCGAATAGTACTAAGCAACAAGTCACAGATACTAGCGCAAATCCTTCTCGCTTCTATCAAATGCCTTACCTAAAAGACTGGAAGAGTCTTCTGAGTGCCTCATCAGTCCAGCCCCATACGGAGCTTACGATACGAACGTGAGAGTCTGTTCGATTGATGTGTTCAAACGAATCTTTAGTAATGTTAATCGAATCATTAGCACTGAATTGTCAATTATAATAAAGTCTCATGCGTGCCTCCTTGAGCGTCCATTGTTTGGTTGTAGTTTATAATCTTAAGAGAAGCAAGGTACGGCGGGAAAAACGAGATACGATATAGAATGCGCAATAAGATGAAGAATGCACAAAATGCACTCAACTCCACTCATACCCCTTTTATATAAGTTCTCCTAAAGTTATCAGCATCAGTTACTCTGACATATTGGTTGTTACACGTTATCGTTTTTGGACTAGCTTTATTTTTTAAGTGTTTCCTAATGTTATTTCGAATGATTATCTATCCATCTTCCCCCCAAGGTTAAATCAGTACGACTAAATCATGCATGCAGAAGTTCCCATGACCAATTTATTCCAATAGCATTTGTCCGCAGTTGCCGATCAACCAGTTACTCCTTTTTTTTTTTTCCCCAAAACTTCCAAAGGTTTATTTCAATGCCCACTCCCATGACACATTGCGTTAAGAGGGTTCACAACTAACCCAGACGGTTCGGCGTGCCGGAATGGTATGGTTCGTGGCGCCTGTCTATAAAAAATAAAGACTTGGTAAGTATAAACTACACGACACGGTATTTATTTTCACTCAATATCAACAACACCCTATCCGAGCTTGTTTTTCTTTCAGCAAACTATCGTAAACTACTGGTCTAATTCAACTTGAGGTTAAAACCATTGAACTAACCCCTCCCTCTTTCCTCTTATACCTAATATTGTAGCAGACATCAACCATGCCATACAGAACACGTCGAAATCCGGCCTGTGACTTCCTCCTCGCTTCTGGTGGCTTTTGATACGGCCAGGTGGTTGAAAAAGTGATAGAGTTTGTTCTAACTCTCACCACCAACATTACACGCCCCGAACATCCACACGACTTTCCCATTTTCGTCTGGAACAGCACCAAGCCCAGCGGGCCGAGGGCGGCGGCTGTCAAAGAGGGCTGGGTTTAATGGGCATATGCTTGTGCCAGCGTTGAAGCATTAAATTGCCTAAACGCGTCAATATTGAGCTGGATGGTTAGCAAAATTATAAAGGCACCATCCTTAAAGCCATACTTGGGGAGCGTCAAGTATAAAATCGCTCATTCGGGAGCGCGGGCGGCTTCCTATTGTGGTAGACACATAGGAATTTAATTATTTTATTTTTAAACAATTATTATTATAACTTTTCAGAGATTACCCTAAGAAATGATATCTCTTCAATTTGTATAAAACAACAATAATATGAACAGCAGTTCGCTTGAATCATCAATATTAATATCATGTATATCGTTGGACAGCACTCTTGTCCATGTTCGAAAAGTGAGCGGATCGAGAAAGTTTACAACAGTAAATAGTTTTAACAATAGATGTAAAATTCTGTCCGTTTTACCATATATTATAGAGGCAAAGGGCGGTGTAATGTTTACGATTGTTATTTTCTCATAACTGAACAAGGCCTCGGGGGACGGCTTTACTATATCTCTAATCGTAAAACGAAGCCTGATAAGAAAAGTAAATATTACATAACGCAACATTCGAATAGAGGTTTCCGATTTTACGCGGAGGATGAGTGAATACATTAACGTGATAAATACGTAGATAGGTATACATTGATCCATACTGAAAGAGACAAACCATTTTGAAGTGGAAAATTGATGTGCTTTTTTTCTGAGCGAATATGTTGACGGTTTATTTCTGATTTAACTGTCGTTATTTGTATTCACATTACATTACCCTTATCTTACTGTCGGTGTATGACCTTTCCCTACGCGTCCCAATCCAATCCCCATGTGCGCTGTGCCACGTATGATTATTCAACAAAGAATTTCTTTCAACTCCGAGTTTCTCAATCAAGACCGTAATACCAGCAGAAGTATAGAACAACGTAGTCCATTTGTTATTTTCTATTGGTTCGTTTGTCTTTTGGGGGACGGATGCGTTGTTAAAATTATAATTTCAGAGACGGACGAAAGTTTCTTGTAAAAGTAGAGGTGGGCTAATAGTATTAATGTTAATATACTGGTTTTTAAGTATAAAAGTCGTAAGGTTGGATTCTACAAGTTTTTGTTTATTGTGACCATAATTGAGAGAAGGCATGCTTTACTTCAAAGACTTGAACTCAACAGGCATTTTATATAAACATTCTTGCGAGCGATACAGTCAAAGCTCGGAAAACCGATAAATGCCAAAACTGATAATTTTTCTAATTCCCCAAAACACGTAGAACAAAATTCGCTCGTAAAACCGATATTTTCATATAACATCCACGCAATTCCGATAACCGATATTATTTTGTCACGTTCTTATAAGAATTTAAGCTCGATAAACCGATATTATTATTATATTCACAGTTTCTTAATTTACTATATGTAATTGTCCATCAATAATCTCTCAAAACTGGTATTTCGGAAAACCGCCATTTTCGAAAATATTACTCCACAAAATTTGCAGGGAAAACAAAAAAAATAAAACTAAAATTACAATAAACAAACGGTTTCATCAAAATTTTGAAACCGTTTTAGTACAACAGTAAAAAGTTTATCTCGAAATTTTACAATAAACAAACGGTTTCATCAAAATTTTGAAACCGTTTGAGTACAACAGTAGAAATTTTATCTCAAAATTTTACAATAAACAAACGGTTTCATCAAAATTTTGAAACCGTTTGAGTGCAACAGTAGAAAGTTTATCTCGAAATTTTTATATAAATTTTATAGTACGCCAAATGCACCATGAGACCTCCCTCCGTTACACGTCTCATCGGAGGGTGTAGGTATTACGGATTTTGTTGATGTAATCTCCAAGTGGCAAATAAATCTTCTACTCCTGTACTTCATGTTTTTATTTCCGTATAAAAGCTCGAATCTTCTACTTCCGTACTTCATGTTTTCGTTTCCATATAAAAGCTCAAATTTTTTGTCGACCCCAGCCTTTCTTCGACGCTATCAATCTTCTCATCAACTAGTGTAAAGTTCGACTGACTGAAAGTCAAAATGCAGTTTTTTTAAAAAAAGAGAGAGAGATACTTTGTCAATATCAAGCACACTTTTTCGACGTAGAACAATATTTTTTTCTTAAAATTATAATTATTTTCTTACAAGTTATAAAAATGTCTAGAAAAAGAAGAAGCAATTTGCTCATTTGCTTCAACACATCCTCTTATAAAAGTCACTAATACCAGAAAGTGCTTACCTCAGAGACAAACAAGTCCATATTTGCAAAACCATGTTCTGCCCAGGCGTAATTGTTGACAGACCCGGCAAAACCCAAAGTCTGTGGGGCAGGGCTTTTTCTATTTTTGCGTTGAAAAACGGCATCGCTTTTGTTTTAAAAAATTAATTGTGACAATATTGATTGCCACGCTTTTGTTGGAGTTTTTTTTTTAAAAAATGATTATAATATTAAATTTTATAACTTTTAGGTAGGATAAAAAGCTCTGAGTTTTTTGTAAGTCAATGATTGTTATGTCTGTGGCTTTTTGATAGAAACGTAATTCTTGAAAGGCTGCAAATGATGTGCTTTATATAACTGTAGAAATTCCTCTCCCAAATTAGCATTTGCCACAAGGCATCACACAGAAAGATAAAGAAACTTTGACATTATAATTATACTATCTATCAATAGACCAAATAATATCCAACTAGTTTAAACATACGGTAAAAAGTTAGTCCAAACAATGATTGTAGAATATTCTTTGTTGTATTACGCATCTTCTCTATCAACAATCACTTAATGTTGGCAAGATTATAAAAGTCAACCCTGTTTATTGATTCATTGAAAAAATACTGTAAAGAGTTAATCTATGAACAATAAAAGATAATCTTTTCCATCAACAATCATTTGGCGTTGTAAAAATAGAGTCAAACCTGTTTGATATGAACAATAAAAGGTAATTGTTGTAGAACATTCTTATCAACAATCACTTGGCGTTGTAAAAAAAAAAAGTCAAACCTGTTTGATTCCTTGAAAAAATACGATAAAAGTTAATCCATAAACAATGAAAAGCAATTGTTGTAGAACATTCTTTGTTGTATTACGCATCTTTTTTATCAACAATCACTTGGCGTTGTAAAAAAGAAAAAGTCAAACCTGTTTGATTCCTTGAAAAAATACGATAAAAGTTAATCCATAAACAATGAAAAGCAATTGTTGTA